CCTCCGCGAAGCTGTCTTCACTTTCCCCAGAAAGAACCCTGTTGCCCAGGGCCTGTTATGCATTTGTTTATTGATCATTGATACTAGTGTATCTCCTTTATTATTATTATTATTATTGATTTTAGAGAGAGAGGAAGGGAGAGGGAGAGAGAGAGAAACATCGATGTGAGAAAGAAACACCGATCTGTTGCCTCCTGTATCTCCTGTACATGCCCCGGCCCGGAATCGAACCCAAAGCCTGGGTATGTGCCCTGAGCCAGAATCAAACCCCCGAACCTTTGATGCACAAGATGACACTCCAACCAGCTGAGCCTCAGCGGCCGGGGCCTCCTAGTGTATCTTAAGCAGCCTTCTAAATGACTGGCTCCCAGTTACACTGTGCCCTGCTCAAGAGCAGGGACATGCCTCACGTCTTGTTGTGCCTGGCATCTGGCCCAGAGCCCGGCACGTGGCAGACCCATTACTCTATGGTCCAAACAATGGCAGCAAGAGGTGCGACAGCCCCTGGAGGGCAGCCCACTGCTGACCTCCCCCTCACACCAGGGGCCTTGCACACCGTGCGGCACCTGCCTGCACCTGCCCTGCCCAGCGGTACCAGGCCTTCCTGGGACGCAGACAAGCCCCGGTGCCTGCTGGAGAAGAGCCCTGCGCGCAGGGTCCAGAGTCGGGGCCTTGCTGGGCGCCCTGGAGGAGCCTGCCTGGAGTGCGGTTGGCTCCCTAGAGGGACTTCCCTTTTGCCTGGGTGGCAGGAGTCCTGGAGTGCCGTTCCAGCTGGCAGAACCTTTCGGGAGCCATTTCCTCCCCCGCGGAGCAGGAGGCCCACTTCCCAGGGGTGGAGCGCCCAGGGCTGGCATTCTGGGCCCAGTGGAGTGAAAATAGTTCCCTGCTGAGTGGAGGGCGGGGCTTGGCTCCCTGACCCGTAGGTGCCTGGAACCCTGTGTGGTAAACAGAGTTTGCATTTGCCCTTTGCTTGCCCCGGCCCTGGTATTAACTGGTTACTGCCCAGGGTGCAGTGCCTGGCCGTGTGTCCCTTTCTCTTGGGCTCAGGGGACTGCCTGCTTGGAGCAGCAGGTGCCACCTGGCTTTGTGAGAGGACCCAGGTACCCAGGTGGCCCCTTAAGAGGCAGGAAGCCAAGGGGCAGGGGCCGGGTGAGTGAAACGCTCATTCACACAACTGGCTGCCCATGGCTGATCCTCTGGAAATGTACCCGGAAGTGGGCCTGCAGTGGAGCCTGCTGGAATGTCACCTGATGCGGAGCCCATCCGCCCCCGCCCCCGCCCATCCATGGCTCAGTGGCCACTGACCAGCCTCCTGTGGAAGAAGAGGCTGGGCCTCCCGAGCTGCCCAGGCCTGGACAGCCTCCACCCACCGGCGGAGTGAGTCTAGGAGCCAGGGTCAAAGCTGAGGGTCCAGGGTGTGGGCCTCTCAACTCCCTCATCCCTTCCCCCCAAAAACATGCAAACAGGGCTGCGTGTAGGCCCCCCACCTTCTGGTACAGTGTTACCCCAGATCTGAGAACATTGCAGGGGTGGGTTTGCCGTCTACCTCACCTCCAGTCACCCTGCAAACCCCCACAAATTGTGGGACATTTCTGACTTCCTCCGGCTCTCTGCTCACAGCACCTTCACTGGCTCCCACTGCCTGTAACTGAAAAGGCCACACTCTCTGGCCCGGCATTCAAGGCCTCTGCAACCCACACTCCACCTGGGCTCCACCCCCATCTCACTCCTCTTCCCCACAGGAAGTGGCCACTCCAGCCCCAGGTCAGCTCTGAGTCAGGCCACCGCACTGGCCTTCCTGTGGCTTCACTCATGTCGCCCCACTTTCCCCCTCGTTCAGCCTCTTGTAATCAGTCCCCCTTTAAAACCCTTTGCTCTTCCCAGAAGCTTTTGCTGGTGACCCCACCCCACAGCCCTCCATCTCCCTCTGCCCTCCCAGAGCCCCCGCCCAGCACTGCCTCGCACATAGGTATCTGCCCCTTACCTCTGTGGTAGGCTCAGTGGAGAACAGACTGGATGTTATGCGTACCCTTCCTGGCAGCCCATGTGATAGCGCTGTATGCAAGGAAAGTGGGCAGTCCGGCCGCTGTGGCTCAGTGGCTGAGCGTTGACCCAGGAACCAAGAGATCTCAGTTCGATTCCCGGTCAGGGCACATGTCCGAGTGGCGGGCTCGATCCCTAGAAAGGTGCTTGTGGGAGGCAGCCGATCAATGATGTTTTTCTCTCATCAAACGTGTCTATCTCTCACTCCTTGTCCCTTTCTCTCAAAAAATCAATAAAGGCATATTTTTAAAAAGTGGGCAGTACCTGTCAGTGGGATGATTGGCCAAGAACCGAGAGAGGCTCTCAGCTTCTCTAGGGGGAAGGGTCTAGGCTGGGCCTTGCTGCTGCCCTGAACCCTGGGCTCCCTCCGGCTCCCAGAACCCCAGGCCAAGAAGCTCAGAGCAACGCTGGCGAGCCTGCAAATGCAATACCAACCACAGCGGCTTGCCTCTGCGGAGCACCGCTCCATTTTCCAAGTGTCTTTTCTATGCGTTTGACCTTTACAACCCTGTGAGTTCAATAAGGCAGACACCATCTCCATTTTATTGATTTGAAAGCGGAGGCTGAGTGACTCGCCACGGATCAGAGCCCATTTGTTTGAACTCTGTTGGGCCTGCGCTGTGCTCCGGCCCAAGCACTTTCTCATCTCTGGTCGAGCGCTCACCTTTCCTGCCTTCCTGCTCGTGTAGGTACATGTCTTACGTCCCCCAAAGCCCTTTGAGGGGAAGGTCTGCACCTGATCCACCGTTGTGTTCTCTTAGAGCCTTGCCTGTGGCAGGGCCTCAATTAATATTTGCGAGGGGAACGTAGACGAAGCATCTGCGCAGGCCTGCCCAGGGGATTTGGGTCACAGAGCAGGTGTCAAGCAGGCAGGCTCCCTGCTCCCAGCAAGCCCTTCAGCTCCCGGAGCCAGCCTCCCCCCTGCCCCTTCCTCCTCCAGCTGCTGGCCCCTGTGGTCACGTGCTCCCTGTACACGCTGCAGCCTGCCCTGCCTCCTGACACTCAGCCCGCCGCCTGCCTCACCAGACACCAACAGAGCTCACTGCACAGCTTCCAGGAGACCCGCGCCCCCACCTGGGGTTTGAGGGCGCCCCTGACTCCCGAACTCACCCAGGCCCCCCGAGGTGATGGGAGAGAGCCAGGGTGCCACGAGAGAGCCAGACATGCCCACACTCACCAGAGATGGCGCCTCCAGCAGGGCAGGGCCAGCCAGCTGGCTTCTGGGCGGTGTCCAGTCCCAGCTGTTGCCTGTGCTGCCTGGGGCTGCCCACCTTTTTCTAAAAAAAAATCTAACAGGAGAGATAAGATAGATCTACAAGAAAATTACACAGTGAAGAATAAGGTAAGTGCCACACAGCAGACGTGACCTCTGGGGGAGAGAAAGCAGGACAGAAACACAGAGAAGGAAGCGCCTCCAGCCCAGGGGGTCAGAAGAGGCAGAACGGGGACCTTCCATCAAGCTCCCCACGCGTGAGCTGAGTTGCTAGGGAAGTCAGAGGAGAAATGCTGCAGGGAAGGGGTTTGGAGCATTATTCTAACGGCAGGGGGGAGCCACGGAAGGCTGTTCTGTTGCCTGATGGCGGCATAACCAGGGTTGTGCTTTAAGATTTGAATCTGGCACACGGCACAGACAAGCGATTTGCTGAGGACACATTCATCCGGTTGAAAGATCCAGATCCAAGGTAAGCCGGAATGGGCCGATCCGAGAGCTCCTTTCCAAAATAAGATCCACGGCCTGGGTGGACGTGGGAGGAAGGATGCTAAGCCGATGCCACAAGTTCAAGTCTGACAACAGCCACGTCTTTACGAAAACACCACACCACGCCACATTTAGCCCTGCGACCCTTATAGGCCACTCCTTCTCGATCCATCCTGCTCTTAGATCCATACTGCCTGTACCCCTGGGCCAGGGCCATCCCCTGCAAGTCTCCCCTCGGTGGCCCCAACATGGGGATTTCCAGGGAAGGAAACAGGAACGCGCCCCTCCTCCCCATCCAGGTAACATGAGGCCTTGAAACTTGCCATCCCCAGAGGCAACACATCTTCCCGCCCTGACAGGTCTCCTGTCTCCCACTCCCTGGCAAAAGCAAGGGCGAGCGGGGAGACAAGAATACACTGACTCGGTGGGGAAATTGGGCCGGGTGGACCCGGCTCTTGTCCACCGCCCAGGACAGCGACCCCCGGAAGCCAGCAGGAGACTGGGTGACGGTAACTCAGAAGAGTTTGACCTCCAGGAGTGCAGATTGACCCTTTAAGATGGTGAAGGGGGAACGGACTTCAATGAAACGAACCCAGCTCTGCCTGGGGACTCTCCCTCCCATGGGTCCCTAGAGCCTGTTCTGCGAGGCTGAGCCTTCTGAGACCTGAGTGTGGGAATCGTGTGTGCTCATGTCTCCCCTACCAGACTCCGAGGTCTGAGGGTCGCGAGCAAGATACACTGAACGCCTTGCCTTGGACACGGCGGGCACCTGAAATCACTCACTGGACGGACTCTGCCCACTTCCCTGCCAGCCCTGCCTCCTTCCTTTCGGGGTCACACCTTCTGCTTCACGGTTCTCGGTGGGACCCAGGAGGGGACCCTCCCTCTGCTTCCTGAGTTTCCCCCACATCTCCCGGCCCCAGCCTCCGATAGATTCTTTTCTGGACCAAAGGGCCCCGTTGCGTCATGCGCTCCCTGCCATCAGCCATACAAGTATCTTTAATCACCTCTGAAACCAGCCTCTCCCCAGGCTCAGCCACTCTGCCCAACCCAGTTCCAGAATCCCCTTCTGCCCGCTTTCCCCCTTGGGGGAGCAGAGAGGCCTCGGAAGGCCAGTGGGTTCAGGGCCCAGCCAGCCCCGACTGGCTTCACCCAGTAAGGATGCGGCGCCTCCCCACTTTCCAGCAACCAATTTCCTCCCCTTCGCCCTCAATTCACATAAAGGCCTGAGAGCCACCCCCAAAAGAGCACCCCACGCTTCACATCCCGCGCCCATGGGTCTCCCAGGCTCAGGAGTAACAGAGATACAGCCCTGGCCAGGTTACCTCCCAAGAGGGCGGTGACCCTTAGAGCGCCCTCCGGAGGCACCAGGCTCCCCGAGGAGTGACCCTGAGCATCCTCCTTCCTCCCGGGCCTGCCGCCACTCAGCAGCCGTCAGGAGGGGCGGATGGACCCACTGACAGCCCTCCCGCCTCCTCCCCTTCTCCCATCCATCCTCCCTCCTCTCCGGTGCCTGGAAGGAGCTACCTCAGTGTCCAGGTGTGTGAGTGTGTTGGGGAGGAGGGAGGATTTTGGGGGGTTTCCTGGAACCCCAGCCTAGACCTCCACACGGGTGCGCATTTGGGCCAAAATTCCAGAGCGTTCCGAAACTTGGAAGTCCCCCATCCAAAGGTCTGCTCTGGAACTGTCACTCTGGAATGTGCCCTACC